ATGATAATTATGCCTAATTGATAGAAATTTCATGAAGGTTAAATGAGATAATATTTATGAATTGTTTAGAACAGTATCAGTCACATAAGTGCTCAGAAAATTTTAGTTGCCTTTCTTATCACTATGTTGGGTATGCAACATTGACTTGAACTGTACTGTGGATACTGCTTTGAAAATAAGATACTGATAGTATCTAAAGGTGACCCCTCCCTTAGTACTGTGTATCTCATCTTCTTCTGCCTTTTCATGGACTGTGCTCCTGTAGCCATGCTCTAGCTTCTGCATCATCTGTTCTGTTCTTTTTTTTTTTTACTGACTTCCTCTTGTTGTCATGCAAAATAGGCTAAATAAAGTCCATCTTTAAAAAAATCTTTCACCCTGACTGATGTAGCTTAGTGGGTTGGGCATCATCCTGCAAACCAAAAGGTCGCTGGTTTGATTCCTGGTCAGGATACATGCCTGGGTTGCCAGGTCCCCAGCTGGGGCCATGTGAAGGCCAACTAATCAGTGTTTCTCTTGCACCTCTCTTTCTAAACATAAAAAAAATCTTTTACTGATCTATGGCCCCCCTCTAACTCTATACCCTATTTCTTCTGTTTCTCTGTTCCCTGTCGTAGCAGAATTCTTCTTAAAAGTTGCCTATATTGGTTGTCTCCATTTTCACATCTCTCATTGTCTCCTTAAGCTACTCATACACCTTTTATTCCCCCACTGCTCTACTGAAATGGTTCTTACTGAAGTTACTCTTGACCTCTATCTTTTCAAATCCAAGCATTAACTTCTGTGTCTTGACCCCACAGTAGCATTTGACCTGGAGAACCACTCCATTTTGGTTATTGTTTTAAATTAAGTCCTTCAGACATTAAAAAAAGGCCTAAAATAATATAATGCACATGTGCATTTGCCGTCTAGTTTAAAGAGTGAAAATTATCAAATCACTTGAAGCCCCTCACCCCAATCCATTCCCAGTTGTATCCTTTCCTAGCTTCAGATGTAGCCATTATGCTAAATTGGTATTTCTTGTTCCTATACTTGTTTTGCACTTTTGCCACATATGTGTTTTCCTATACAATCTGCAATGATTTTCTTCATGTTTTAAACCTCCATAGTGAAAAATTATTCTTAAATATCTTCTGCAATTTATTCTTTTCATTCAACATTTTGTTATGAGAATTATTCATGTTGTCATGTGTGACCCTAGAGTGTTTATTTTCTTTCTATTTTTTACATATTGGCTTTTATTTTTATTTTTTTCACATTTTTTTATTGTTGTTCAAGTGCAGTTGTCTCCATTTTCCCCCACCACTCCCCCCCACCCCAGCCATCCCCACTTCCCACCCTTGATCCTACCTCGCTTTGATTTTTGTCCATGTGTCCTTTATACATGTGTCTGAAAACCCTTCCCCCTTTCCCCCATTATCCCCTCCCACCTCCCCTCTGGTCACTGTCAGTTTCACTGTGTAAATAGTGTTCCATTTTATGAATAGACTACAATTTAACCATTAGGTGGTAGATAGATACATAAGTTGTTTCTATTTTCAGTTGTTACAAACAGTCCTTCTGGGAATATTCTGATAAATATCCCCTCAGGTATTTCTGTTTGATAATACCTAGAAGTAGAGTTCCTGGGTTATACTGTATTTAACTAGATTCTTCTTTTGAATCACCTTGTTATAGGCTTCCATGATACTGCACTTGTTTAATTTTCATCTTACTTCATAGGCCAAACAGTTTCATCTCATTTTCTGGATCTTCATCCTCTACTGTACTCTATATTTTAGTGCCTGGGGATTTGTCTTTGGCTGTCTTCTCTGTATTCTCAGCTTCTAACTTCAAATTACACTAAATTATCCTCCAAGCTGATCCCAGGATACTCTTTATCAAATGCAATCCAATCATGTCATTAAATTTCTTAAGACATCCCCTGCTGCCTCGGAAGTCCCCCCAACCCCTGCATGTATCTCAACTCCTACTCTTCTCTAAAGGATCCTGAAGACCATCTTTCCAGCAGTCTGGGCCTTTGCTTAAGACTATTCCCTCTGTTCACAGTTTTCTTTCCCCTCACTCCTTAACTGCCTGGTCAACTTTTTAAAAAGATGATTTGTGCCCTGGCTGGCATAGCTCAGTGGATTGAGCTCAGGCTGCGAACCAAAGCATCGCAGGTTCGATTCCCAGTCAGGGCACATGCCTGGGTTGCAGGCCACGGTCCCCAGCAACGGCACATTGATGTTTATTTCTCTCTCTCTTTCTCCCTCCCTTCCCTCTCTAAAAATAAATAAATAAAATCTTTAAAAATGAAAAAAAAAGATGATTTGGATGTCCCCTTTTCAGGAAAGTCATACCTGACACCTTCAGGCAGAAGTAAGAAATTCCTTCTCTGTGTTCTAGCAGTTTGTTGACTACATTATGCTTATTGATTCATTTCTCCAACAAATATTTAGTTACTGCCTGCTACATTCTAGAGACTGTCCTAGACATTGGGGCTAGAACAGTAAACCAGACAGACAGGGTTCTTATTTTTTAAGGAGTCTACAGTCCAGAGGGTTGGAGAGAGAAAAGAAATAAACAAAGAACATTATTTTCGATATTGTGGTAATGGGATGGAGAGTGCGTGGAGGGGCGGTGGGGAGAAAGTGGGGATGGGCATGACTTCAGATTGAGTGAGATGCTGTTTGAGTTGAGACCTGGAAGATCAGAAGGTACCAGCCATGCAGCAGCCTGAAAGAAGAGCATCTTAGGCAGCAGGAACAGTGAGTACAAAGGCCCTGGAGCTAGCATGAATTTATCATGTGTGAGGAGCAGAGGGAAGGCCAGTGAGTCAGGAGCATCATGAGCTGCAGGAAGGGGCCTGTACAAGTAAAATCTGAGACATGGGCAGGGCCAGATCATGTAGGGCTTTACGGGTAAGATTTGTTGATTTTCAGTGTAGTGGGAAACCATTGGGAGATTTTACGTGAGAGAGGGACAGATCTGATTTATGTCTGGAGTGATCACTCAGGAGGGTGTGAGAATTACAGGCAGAGACCAGGTAGGAGTGGTTGCTGCAAGTAGAACATGTTGGTAGCTTGGATTCTGTGGGATTTGTAGTGTCCATAGAAAGAAGTGGAATGACTTAGGATGTATTTTTAAGGTAGGCTGCTAGGACTGGCTGATGGATTAGATGTGTTGGTTTTAAGGAGGGATGGAATCAAGAAAAGGACCTGTTGGCTTTTCTTGAGTAACTGCCACGTAGATGACTAGTGGTGGTGACAGCAATGACAAAGTTTTGTGGGGGTGGAACAAAAAATTACCTTTCAGATATTTTAAGTTGGACATGCCTCTTGAGACTGCCAAGCATGAATGACAGGAAGTGAGTTGGACAGGTGGCTCTGAAGGTCAGGGATTGTCTTAGTTTGTTGGGGCTGCTATAACCAATTATTGGAGACCGGGTGCCTTAAACAAGGAACATTTATTTCTCATTGTTCTGGAGGCGAGAAGTCTGAGATCAGGGTGCAGCTTGGCTGGGTTCCAGGGAGGAATTTCTTCCCGACTGCAGACCACTGACATCTTGTACTCTCATGTGGCAGGTAGAGGGTGAGGGGTACCTCTGGTGTGTATTTCATAAAGGGATACCTTCAGGACCTAGTTACCTTTGAAAGGCCTCTGCTCCTAATACCATCACATTAGATTTCAGTATATGATATTGGGCAGAACACAAACATAGAGTTCATAACAGGGGTGGAGATAGATAGTTTTGAGAGTCAGCAACTTATTGATTATATTTTAAAGCACTGAGACTGGATAAAATAACTGAGAGTTTGAGTGTAGACGGATAGAGAAGAGAGGTGAGAGCAGGGTTCGGACATCATAGCATGTGGAGTTTGAGGGGTAGGGATGTAAGGAGGGAGTCATAGAAGACAGTAGAGGGAGAGAGTATCAGTTGTGTCATGCTGCTGGAAGTTCGGATATGCTGAAGGCACAGGTACGACGGCTGGATTTGGCCCCCCGGAGGTCACTGTGACTGGTGAGGACACCTTTAGGGCATTTCAGCGGCCAGAAGGTGGAACTTAGCTCATTACTTTAATTAACTGCATATGTTATCTGTCACCTCTAGAACACATGCGAGTCCTGTTTCTAGGGCTTAGCGTATACTAGATGGTGAATAAATGTTTGCCTACACATTTGCTTTTTACGAGGTAGTTTAAAGGATAATATACTTTTTTACCCTCATTTAGAATGCTTTTAGATCACTGACTCTTCCCACCATTTTGTGTCCATTCAAGGAGTGTAGTCATGTGAATAATGACTTAAGGGAAACAATGAGAGAAGCAGATCCATTTTAATAGAGGCCCACGGAGCATCCTGAAGCCATCATGCTGTGGAGAAACAGGGCCTTGCTTTGGACATGGAAGGCCTGCTTCCAGTTCTGGCCCCGCTGCTCGGCCCTGCTGCAAGTGTTGGTGGCACGTCCCCCATGCTCTCCGGATTGCATTTTTTCAGCTGTCATATGTGGATAATATTAACGAATTCATCGTACAGGGTTTTTGTGAGCAGCAAATGTATTAATGCACAAAGTAAAATAGCTCTGTAAGAGCTGTTTTTGTAAAAATAATTGGTTTATCCATTTTATTATAGATTTATAAAGTAGATTAGAGCACAGTGTCATGAAATTCATATGTAGGCAGTGGGGTATGAATGGCAAGTTTAGGGAGAACAGAGATTGCTGGAAAATGTGATACTTTTCTAGAAGTATATAGGAAATTAATTTCTTTTGGCTTTATTCTCTTATCTTTCTCAGATAAATTTAATTATCCTCTTAGGACCAAAGAATAGACTTTTACTTTAAGATCAAGTAATCAAATCTAGCTAGTGGTCTGTTTATCCCAGTGTTGCATATATCTGAAAGAATAAAATGTAGTTAGTGTTGCTTGTGTTTTTTTCTTTTTTTCTATTTTTTAAGTGAATATATTAACATGACACATTTGCCCCCATGGTGATTACCCATTTCATTTCACTTCTAGGGTAAAAATCATGGTAAGAAACTCAGAAATTACTACGCAGCGAACAGCTGTCCTCCTCCTGCCAGAATGAGCAATGCGGTAGAACCTGTGGCCACTCCAGCTGCTCCTGTCCCTCCGCAGGTGAGGCGTGTGTCAGGGGGAAGCTGTCCTGTGCACAAATGGTCACGGGTGTGATTATCATCCGTGTGCCCATCAAGGCACAGTTGGGCAGATATTCCTGAAAAGGACCACTTGGTGCTTTTAAAACTCCTTGAACTATAGGGCTGGATTTAACACATGCCAAAATCCACAAATCTTCAGATTGCCCATTGGCTTTGCTTGTGATGCATGAAATGATGAAACACTTACTGTTTCACGAGTCTTCCACTATGCATTTCTCAAAATTCTGGCCTAAATGGCCCTCAGTGTCTAGGGCTAAACTAGAATAAAAACTAACTAACCCTGAATAGAATAAGAGATTTCAAAACATTTATATCTTTATTGTAGTTAATGCCATTATTTTATATTTTGCCTTCCATTAAGATCAGTTTCTTGAGATTGCTAACCCCTCTCCCTTTTTTTAACTTCTGTGCAGAGAACCTGTATAAACTCTCTCTGGTTAAAAGTGGAGTTCCTTTCACTCGTTGAAAGATAGGGCACGTATTTTGAGCAAGATATTTCTGTACTTGAATAGCTTCTGACATATGGATTCTACTCCTTAACCTGCCTTTGAAGTATTATTTGTCTTTAGAACAGTACAGTGCTCATAGATAATAACTCTAATCGAGTACTTACTATGCCGGGTAGTCTGCTAAGCACTTTTCATGCATTATTTCATTCAGGTCTGGGATTAGGGTCAGGAGAGGGATACACTCCACTGTGCCCACAATATAAGGGGGAAGAAACAGAAAACTCAGTAGTCAAGATAAATATTTAAAATATTCAGAATTAATATAAACAATTCAATGGTGAACAAAAGGTCAAAACTTAGACAGGGTAAGTATTATTTTCCTTTTTCCTCAGGCAACAATATGGCACAGTTACTGATCCTGTCTTTATTTAAAATTTTGATATTTTGTTCCTCGTTGATTTTTTTGGTATTAGGTTTGATGATCTAGTTTATTAAACTATTTCATTAAAATATTATTTCTCTTGATTGCTGGGTGTTTTGATGCTCCCTTGAGTTTCGTGCTCATAGCCTGCCTTGCCTGGTTCTAGACCTGGGTGCTGACTTCACGTAGTGCTTGCAGTAACTTAGAAGTACTGGCCTTACTACTCGAAGTGTAGTCCATGGCCAGCAACATTCATCTCACCTGGAAGTTTATTAGAAGTTCCGGCAAGCTCAGTACAGTACCTTGTCCATGGCATTACATGTGGTGGGGCAAGAATTGTTTTTAATCTTAGACCTCTACTCATAATCACCATGGTATAAATTTTATTTTTCTAAATGTTAGTTTCCAGTACTTAAGGTATGGATAGAAATACCAGCTATTCCTCCATCTGCAAGAATTTGTGGGGGTAAGTGAGATATGTTAAACACAGAATGAGAGGACAGGAAAATTACTGGGATGATCTTCAGGCAGTGTAGTGGTCACAGGACTAATTCCTGAAGGCTGCCCTAGAACTGGGTGGCTGCTCCCTGTTGGGGACTGTTTTCAGCCAGCTCCACCCTTCTGGGCAAACAGCCTTAGCCTTCTTTCACAGCATAGCCCTTTGTGATTTTTGAAGACAGCTATCCTGTCTCCAGAAATCTTCCCTTCGGGGTGAAAGAAACAGTGCTATTTCTTTCCGCTGGTCCTGATATGATATGCCTTCCAGACTCTCATATATTTTATTCTCCTCCAGACAAAATCTAGTTTGTTGTTTTTTGTTAACCCAAAAACATTTTGAGTGGATACTATCTTTTGGGCACAATGTTAGTTTCCCTTAACTTGTTGTTTCCCAGCCTGAATGTAACTGTCTGGATCTGCTGGTTATTTCCCCATTATATGGTATTATAATTATATTATTATAAAGTAATTATAATATAGTATATAATTACAATTATATCTGTAGCTAGTTTGTGGACTCTTTGAGTAGAGGCTCATTTTTTTAAATATATGTCTGTACACAGCTTCTGCATTAAGTAGCAAGCCTTATTAACAGTAAATGTTCAGTAAATGCTTGTAAATGCTTGTTGGTGGATTCTGGGCTGACTTTACTTTTTCTGACAGTGTGATTCTAGGCTTTATTTACACTGCCCTATATCTTCCATGCTGGGTTTTTAAGTTGTTTTTTTTTTTTAATTTCTTCATTGGAGATAACAAGGAGCCATTCGTTATTTTGGCACACTGGTTATTGTCCTGCAAAACCATGATTAAGTCACAAAGTGCCTTAGAAGGAACTTTGAGGAAAAGAAGGGAATAAGCTCCAGGTGTTTTTTTAACCTTGTTTCTTGCGTCTCTGTTGTCAGATGGGCTCCTTTAAGCCAGGAGGCAGAGTGATCCTGGCCACAGAGAACGATTACTGCAAGCTCTGTGATGCCTCCTTCAGTTCTCCCGCGGTGGCTCAGGCTCACTATCAAGGGAAGAATCATGCCAAGAGGCTGCGGCTGGCGGAAGCTCAGAGTAACTCATTCTCGTAGGTATTGCCTTTTTTTCTGAGGCCAAAGTGTTGTGTGAGACTGACTGTCTGTAGAGAGAAAGAGTTGAAATGGATCCTGGTTTAGACGTCTCACTCTTTTAAAATTTCTTTTCTCCAGGGAATCCTCAGAGGCAGGTCAGCGGCGGACCCGGAAAGAAGGGAATGAATATAAAATGATGCCTAATAGGAGAAATACGTACACGGTACAGAATAATTCAGGTATCCACTGGATTTCCACATACCTTGGCTGCATTCTAGAAGTGGTCTCCTTTATTTTTATTTCTTTTAATGGTCATAGATAACCCTGAGAATTTGGGGTAAGCTGTTGTTTTGTTTGAATTGGTCTAGTGGCTTTTCAAGCTGGTATTTACTTCAGGTTTCATTTATTTATTTATTTTTTATTTAGCATATTATTTATTTTGCTTTTAAACTATAGTTTTTATGTTTTAAGAGCTTTTATCAAGTTCCTTTATATTTCTTCTGGTATTTGCCAGCTGAGAAATGTAACATTAATTATAAAAATGCACTATTTGGTTTGAAGTCACACCATGCTAATTCCATATTTATTGGGAAAAAACATTGTAGCAGTGGTGTTAAACCAGGTTAGTGAACCAGAAGGGGAGTTTTTGTGAAATACATATGCCTGAACCAGGACTTAGAGATTTTCAGTCAGTAAATTTGGAGTAGGACCCAGATGCACATGTGTTTTGAAAATGCTTCCCCAGTGATTATGATACACACCTTCAGGTCAACTAGCTTATAGGAATGTGTCCTGCCTTTTCTGATTATCTTCAGGATGGAAAATAGGACTGCGTAGCCCCTCATCCTCTTACCCCATCCTCCAATGTGGACACATACCAGCACAGGTCATTCATGTGAACAATAAAACAAAAAACAGCCCTGGCTGGTGTGGCTCAGTGGGTTGAGTGCTGCCCTGTGAACCAAAGGGTCACTGGTTCGATTCCCAGTCAGGGCACATGCCTGGGTTGTAGGCCAGGTGCCCAGTGGGGGACACGTGAGAGGCAACCACACATTGACATTTCTCTCCCTCTCTTTCTCCCTCCATTCCCCTCTCTCTAAAAATAAATAAATCTAAAAAAAAAAGGTAATTGGAAAGGTAAGAGTAGCATAGAAAATAGGGACACATAGAAACAGTAATGTTATGTAATTAATAAAAGCCTGAACATATATCAGTAATTACAACAAATATAAATCTACTAAATTCCCACTTAAAAGACAGAGGCTTTAAGAATAGATTAAAAAATGAGCTGAGAGGAAGGAAGCTGAGATAGTTGTATTAATATTAGATAAAATAAACTTTAGGTCAGAAGGCTGTTTAGGCAATATTCTCTGACCAGAGAACAATTAGATGAGATATCAATAACAAAAATATTTAAAAAAACACACACAAGATTTTCAGCTGTTTGGAAATTTTAAAAGATTTTTAAATAATTCATGGATCAAAGAAGAAATTATATGGGATATTAAAAACTCTTAGAACCAAACAGTAATAAAATTATATTAAATTTATAGGATGTAGTAAAAATAATATTTTGAGAAAAGCCTGAAATATTTATTCTAGTAGAAAAGAAAAACATGAAATTAATAAACAAATGACCAAACTTAAGTCAATTATATAAAAAGAAAATAAAATGATCAATAATTCCACCAACATTTATATATATGTCATTCCATCCTTCATATTGCTTCTTTAAAATAGAATTGTGATAATATTTTGTGATATTTCTGTTCCACTTAATAGCATATTACAATCACATTTTCATGGAATTAATAGTGTTTTTATTATTTTTAGTGACTGCATGGTTTTCCATTATAGTCCTTAACATAATTTTTCAAGTTGTAGTTTTGGAACTCTCCTTTCTCTAACCCCTCCCAGAAAAACCTTTTTATAAATGCTGATGAAATAAATGCCCTTGTTGATAAATCTTTATGCAAGCGTTCTTAATATTTTTCTTAGGATAATTCTTAGAAATAGAATTTTTGGATTAAAGAGTTAGGATAATTGTAAAACTTCATATAATACTGGGAAATTAAATCATTTTAAAACAGTATTTACATTTTAGAGACATTGTCATTTAGAGTTTGGGTTTGGCTCTATAGTAATCTTTGTGACAATAGTTGGAAGAATCATACTAGTTTTTAGATTGAACCTTTATAAAATTGTAATTTAAAAAATCCATTAACTTCACGTTCATTTGAAGGTAGGAATCTGTAAATTTTATAATTTTAACTTAGGGACAAAATTATAGTTATAATTAATCAGATTGCTGCCATTCAGTTAGTGAATATTTTGAAGTGAACACATTATTTTGTGTCTTGCTATAGGAGGTCCTTACTTCAATCGTCGCTCTCGGCAGAGAATTCCGCGTGATCTGGCCATGTGCGTCACTCCAAGTGGCCAGTTTTACTGCTCAATGTGTAATGTTGGGGCTGGCGAAGAGGTGGAATTCCGGCATCATTTAGAGAGCAAGCAACATAAAAGCAAGGTGTCTGAACAGCGGTACAGGAATGAGATGGAGAATCTGGGCTATGTATAGTGATTGTTGTATTCCAATAGAGCAGCTCATCCTGCCTGTTTGCCTTCTGTCAACATGCCCTGCTTTGTGGTCCTTTTGATATGAGTACATTCCTCTGCTTAATGTTAATACATGTAACCTGCAGTGGTACAGTGAGATGTCAAAACTGGGGAAGGATGAGAACGTGCTTCTTAGGTCATGATGCTTTTTCAGGTCAGTTGTGTTGAGTTACTTAGACCATGTGACCTCTACACCCCATGAGAAATAATGGTTTATCTCGACCATTCTGGTCAATTAGCAGCCTGACCACTTAGAGCTTTAACTATTTAACAATCTCATCTTCTTTTGCAATTTTAGTTTTATGTACTCTTAAGTAAAAGGTTTTATGAGTCCTTCAGATCACAGTAAAAACAGGTAAGCAGAGATTTCAGTTTCCCAAGGCTTCTTTGGAATCACCACCTCTACTCAGTGTCTTGTTGGTGGGGTATATTCTATTATAAACAACATTTGGGTCTTCTCCAGGACATTTTCCCTGTTATCATGTCTTCCCATTATTGAGATGAAGGTTTTCTTGGACTCAGACACTTCTGGTGTGCACTTCCAAACAGTGAAACTTAATTTCCAGTTATGGATTTCACATATTTAAATGCCACCTTCTTTCCTCTCCACTCCCTCCCCACCCAGCTGAATTAACTTGTCTAATAAGCTTATTTTCATGCCCCAGCTATGTTGTGGAATTTCCAAGCTCCACATTTGAATATCCAATGAATTTAAGATAGATAGGATATTTTTTAAAAAAAATATTTTTCAGCTGGTTTTAGAAAATGTAAAGATGTGTTTGATTTTTCAGTTTAGAGTTACTTCATTGATAGTGACTTGTTACTTCCACGATGGTCTCAATCATAAGTTTAGATCTCTGGATTTTTGGTTTGGCAGACTTTGTAGATAAACTGATCCTTCCATTTAACTCATATTCACCTCTGTATTACTGGTTTGCTGGCTATTCTGAAAAATACCACTTACTTTACTGTTTCATAGATAGAGAAGAATTTTTAAAAAGTTAATCAAATTTCAGTATCATCATTTCTAGTAGAAAAATACATGAACTTTGATTTCATTCTTTCTAATTCAGCTTTCTTGAAGATAATAGAGATACAGAAATATGTTATAGATTACTTGATATTTGATAATGACAACAGTGTTATTAGTTTTGTATTTTGTTTTTAAAATAAAGCTCTAGTGTATGTCTAGATTAACTAATGGAGTACTCTATGAACTTTCATTAACTGTACTTTATCTACTTATATTTACATGGATAAGACCGGTGCTCATCCATACTTCTTTTGAAAGGCCACATGGAAGTTTATATTGAGAAGTATCTTTGCACTATGGTCAGTTCACACTTGATTGCTTATATTACTAATTAAGAAAATAACCAAACTCCTGGCTTTTTCTTGAGAATTCTATATGCAAAGAAATGGGGACGAGGAAAATTATAATCGTCATTCCTTTTCTTTAATTCTTCCAAATGATGTTTGAACAATCTAGACCCATATTTAAAATTTAGTTTTATGATTAACCTCTGGTACAATATCAAGTCACTCTTCCGTTGAAGTGATAGTTTTTGAAAAGAATTATTATTTAATATTTTTTTCTCCTAGAAACAGAAGAATAAGATAACATTTGGTTGAAATTCTATCCAGACCCATAACTTTTTGTATAATAATGCTTTGTGCAGTTATCTATAAAATAGAGTTGATTAGTTTAGGGCAATTTAGAGCTTATTTTATTCATCAGTAGGTTATTCATTTTGCTGCTAAGTAATTCTGTGGTAGATTTTGATATTACAGTGCTGGCCACTGGTTCTGTGATTATTTAAAAATCCCATCTTCCCTTCTCTTTGTATGTGTATTTATATACACACATACATAAAACTATAGATAAATACTTTTATGTGATATCATAGAGAAGATTTCATTGAATTCTTATCTCAGATAACAGTAAATGATTGTGGATAAGAATTTGTATTTTGTAAAAGTGACATTCATCCATTTTCAATTTTTTCCTTTGCAAGTAAAATAAAATTAAAGGAAGGGTTTCCTCATTTTCCCCACTTAATTTCATTATACATACAAAGAGGAGTGGATTTAAGGCCTTGATGTTTTTTCTGGCCTTGTGTATTCAGGTTTCCAGTCTCCCAGTGCCCTTAATGGACTTTATGAATGCATAAACGCATTTTCTTTTAAGGAAAAAAAGATTTATAGTGTTATTTCTTACTTGCTATATTTCTTTGCACTAAAAAAGAGCTATGTGTTTGTTTTATATGATACTTTAGATACCATATTGCCTATTCTGTTTACTCCTTAATTTCTAAACTCTAGGAAGTTGATGAATAACTTCTGTGATCACTTATAGAGGTGACATACACATCTTCCTTAAAAAGCCCCTACAAATCTCTGTGACAGTGGTGTGCCCTGGGTTTGTTGCTTCCTAATATTCTGTGTTCCACAGGTGAAAAAAAGGGTGACAGAAGCTGTCATAAAGGAAATGCCTAAAAATCCATCTCTGTATGGTACAGTATCTCATGTCATGCATTCCTTACAGACAGTGTTTTTCCCGGTCAGAGAAGGTTGTCGTTACTACTGCAGCCAGTGATATGTGCTCTCCATTGATTTCATTTTGTGAAGTCCAGTCCTGCTCTGTAGTGTGCTCTAGAGTTTGTACCTTGAGCTCCCCAGGAATCACGATAGTATCTTTTACAGGCGGTATATAAGGGCAGACTGAGGCCTAAACAATGGAAAACCTGCGGTTAATTAAATTAAGTAGATTTCGGTAATCATCTGCAAGAAGACCTCGTGGCATCGAAGTCTCTTTTCTCTGTGAATATCTGTGTAAGTTTTCTTTCAAAGTCGATGTTAGAAGATGACAGAAACTTTAGTAAGATATTGAGGGCAAGAAGTTTTAAAGGAAAAATTCCATGCTCCATGCTCCAATTAAAAGATTGGATTGCGTTTGCATTTGAAGTGTTTTATTTCTTCCCAAAAAGTTAAGGTACAAAATGTGTGTGCCATGCAATCCTTTTGACTCCACTTTGAACAGAAAATACTTTGTTGGTCTTTGTATACCACATGCTGCAACTTGTAAATACGTGCATGTCGTTTACTACATTTGTTTGCCTGTCTCTTGCTGCACTGAAATCTGTAAGTGAATACTTTTTTAAATACCATCCATTTTGAAAAGTTCCTTCTCCAACTCCATGCTATTTTCCCCTTTAATGTGCTGATACACTTAGAAAACCATTTAGGTTTTAGAAACCCTGAGATTGAGTGGAGAATTGTGCCTGAGATCATTCTTCTGTCCCTCTGACTTGAACAGCTAAAGGAAGCATGAGATCTTCCATTTATTTTGCAGGGCTGTTCTGTGACACTGGTAATACTTGCTATAGCTACCTAGCCACACTTTGAACAAGGATAAAATGTGTATATATATAAATCTTCCTCTGTAGATAGATTTTAAGGATTAGCTGTGGGATTTATGATTCCTTCACTCCTGAATTGGCTGGAACGTTGAGCAGTGACAGCTTGAGGATTGCCCAGTGGCCTATGGAAAGTGAGTTTGCTTATGCCAGGGGGACATGTAATTGTCCCTCTCAGTACCTCCGCAGAGCGGCCCAGGAATGGTGGATTTGGAGCCTAACCTATCTTGTTTCCTCAGTCTCAGAACTTAGGCTGTAAGTACTCTGTAAAGAACTTGGTGAGGCATGTAAGGACAATAGAGCTGCTTTTGAAATAGAGAAATGTTTTGTCAATGTAGGCAAAAGTTTAATACAGGCTGTTGAAGAGATGTCTAAAAATATTCTACCTTACTAACTTTGTTTTGATCAGCCAAATCACTATTCAGGAGTTTCATACATAGTGTTTTGTTGTTGCTTTTAGTTTTGGGGTTTGTTTGTTTTTTTTTTGGCGGTGGATCCTTACTATTGTGAGTGATTACCAGCAAACTAACAGAATGGACAAAGAGTTGTGTAAATAGCTTCCCATATGACATTACTTCCGATAGCTCTTTTGACTTTTTCTTCCCATTATGAATGAGAGGATCATTTGTAAACTCCCTTTCTGGGCAGGTACCAAAAACCAAAAAATACTGGCTTATGGTCCCATGTGACCTTGTCTCTATTAAGCCCAGAATATGAGTGCCTTTAGCAAGTTTTAGCATTTCACAGAGAGAAGAGATGATAGAATTATTGCCATTAATCACAGTTCATTAAACCCAGGAGCTTAGAATAGCAAAGGTCTATGTGAATTCTGTGTTCTACATTTTTTTTCTTAATGCAGGCTCAATTTGATATTGAGTAAAACTGTTACTTGTACTGATCAGAAACCATACACCCCAAAAATGAATTAAGTGTTCTAGGGTGGCAGCAGTCATAGAGTACTTTCCACCTTTACGTTACATTTACATTTGGTGAACAGTGGTGTGTGGATTGGGAAGAGCTTGACACTGAATTTGGAAAAGCCTCATCCCATGTTGTTTTTCAAAATCAGTCTCTGTAAAGGGGAGGGAATTATGTATTGAAAATGAAGTGTGGGAAGAGATGGTCATGCACAATAAATATTAATTGTGGTACTTAGTTTCTACATTTAAAAAAGCACCTTCACAAATCCGATCTGAGGCCTTTTACAACAAAATTTTCCTTATTTCAAAAAATTTTTTAAATTCCAAATTGCTAAGTATTTTGAATCTTTAAAACACACTACTAAATTAATTTCATTGTAGAAACTTAACATTTTATTGTGGAAATTTTCAAACATCAGAGTTGAAAAAATTTTACAGTATATCCACCACTGGATTCTATAGTCAGTATTTCACTGTGCTGGTACTACTACATATCTGCCCATCCCCTCTGTTCATCCATCTACCCACAGTTTATTTTAAATACACACTTCAGTGTAAATTTCAGACAATACATTTCCCTTAAACACTTCAGCATAGGTATCATTAACTAGAGTTTTGTGCTTGTTTAAATATCAGTATCTTTTTAAAGTCAGTGTCTCAGTCTTAAATTTAGATCATGTGTTTATTGACTCATGAAGTTGATAACCTCAGCCAATTGAGCACACGCTTTTTCTCCTGTGGACTTCAGCCTTCTGCCAGTTTCTGCGTTTGTACGTGCTTAGAATGAGGGAAGACAATGCTTTTCAAACTGAAGTCTTCTTGTGTTGGACATTGTAAATGCTTAGTTGTCATATATTTTAAAGTTTCATGGTAAGATTTCTCCCTTATCCCTCTTGTTATGATGTATTTTTGCTGAACTATGCAGCTTTAGAAAATTGTGAGTTCCTCATTGGGGTTTGTGAAATCAGCCTATACCTCATTTCAACCTGCTGCTGTTTCTGTCATGTCATCACATTTCCTTCACACTTCCACCCATTCTGCCAGAAAGTACAGAGTCAGACTGTAGACGATTAGCTGTTTTAAAAACTCTAGGGGAGCAGATTAAGTAGTTTAGAAAGTTAAAACCATGAATTTATATAAAGCCTCTGAGTTCCCTGAGAATGGAATTGCCCATGCTTCCTCTAGCCATAATTAGCAGGATCAAAAATGATTGTACTGCACAGTGAATTGTTGAGATTGTGAGCCTTAGTAACATCTTTAGCTTTACTCTAGTACTGCCTGGAGAAAATTTTTTTTGACATATGCCTTCATCATGCCAATTTTTTTTTGTGGGAAAAATGGTAGGTGACTTGCTCCAGGGCATGAAGGTGGAATGGATAGGTCGGAATTGAAACTTCAGTGTTCTTGACTCATATTCTTGTGCTAGTTTGGTAAGATTTATGGCTTCTAAATAACACTTCCTTTGGGGCCCTGAAGATGAAAATATGTATTTTTACTAATTAGACTTTATATTTAGGCATTCCATGACTTTTTGAACTTAAAGAACTTTTTCATGGTCATATTTCCTCATTAAGCCAATGAAATTGCTAAAAATATCACTTCACTGTTGAATACTAACTAATGCAGGTTTTATCAGATTTATTTTTGCATTTCAATGACTTTCATGATTCATTCATAACTCTTTCTATGTAAGTGCTTAAGTGACCCCCTCACTAGTGAAAATGAATGTTCTCTATCACTGATTATATGTATATTCTCTACATGATCTATTTTTTAAAGGAAAAGTAACCCCAATGTGTCAGAATGAATGATATTATCCTAGGGCAAAGAACATATAAAGTTTATTTCTAGTCTTCGAATCTGGCATTCACAGGAACAAAACTCAGAGTGGCTGGTCATTGTTTGCCTTCTTTTGCTACTTCAGCCTTTCTGTGGTTTTGTAAATTCGTGAGTCATCTTATGAGAATTTCGTGTTGATTCTGTGTAATTGGTGTTCACCTTGTGGTATCCTTGGCTGCCCACAGCAGTTTAATTTGGGTGTGGTGTGTCTGCTTTGAAATGCCTTACTAGAGTATGTCAGACTCTGCTCTAAAGCATTCCACGTATCTGCTAGGACAATATGTTGCCTCTCTTGGATGTATGCTCTTAGATCCAGAAGCAAAAATGACTTTGCTTTCACTGTTAAGGTTGCATTTTAGTGGTTATTATTTTAAATTAGAGAATAAAATCATGGAAAACCAATGGAGACTTTAGAATCCTTCATTTAATGGCATGGCAAGCTTGTAAAAACAGTTTTTGCTATTTTACTAGAACAGTGTCTCTGGTAAAGGATATAGCTAAAAAAAAAATGCCAGCCAGAACTGTGTGAAATTGGAGTTGTTTCCTTAAATTATTTCTAAATGTCCTGCAGGAGTTTAACATCTGTGTATGCTATTGGGGCTAAGTGCCAGTCACTGCTTTGGAAATGTTTCTGTTTTGGGGCTACAGAAATGACAAAAAATGTCATGGGGTTTAAACCAATCAACTGTGAATTGTGAAATTGAAATTGCTCCTTTGGTTTTGTTTTCTTCTGTATATTGAATATAGAAATCAAAAAGTTATTTAAAATTTATACTGCTTATGTTGATGGCTCATTTTGGCTGTGTATCCTCACTATGTACTGATTTCTGATAAAGGCTTGACATTGTTATAATGGGCATTTTGTGTTCAATTTAATAAAACAGTTTCCGAGTCTTGTCTGCAGATCGTTCAGCTATGAGTTGGAGGTCAAGGAAAAAGGCACATTGTCAGCACGGAGGTGTTACTTTTAATGCCCATGCTGGATGACTGTGGGTTCACCATTCATCAGTCTGCACGTAATCCGTCATGGGCTCACTCCTAGAGCTCACATGGAGTGCTGTCAGGTCTTGGGCTTGCAGTAGAATTAACCCAGCTGCCCCACGTCACTGGAGTTAGCCTGAGACTGGAGGGAGTTCTTAATTTTATTGATATATTTTAAAATTTATCTTCCCTTCAAATTCTGAGAAATGTTGAGCTTAGCATAATCATAACTGCTGCTTTTAGAAATAAACATATTAACATGCATATACCCATTAATCTTTTGGATATTTCACATACAAAATACTCTTAAAATTTACTTAAAAATACAATACATTATTGGGGTATGGTCATTAAGCACTCTGGCTTACTGTATGCAGTGTGCTTCTGAATTTCAATGCTCATTTTGAAGAGCAGATGATAGGCCTGGAAGGTGCTGCTATGGTTTGTTTAATCGGGATGCAAGACACATACACTTACTGTCGTGGGAAAAATTCCTGTCTGCACACACAAAAAATGTTTTTGAATGAACTGAATGGATCACATTGACTGTGTTTTAAAAACACTCAAGGCATCAGCACATTTTATTATATCATCTCCAAGAGATTTGTAGCTTAAAAGAAAGCCGTAATAATGGGCATCAAAAAAATAAAGGTCTTAAATCAGTACAGCTTTTCAGCTTTTTTTTTTTTTCCCAGGCATTTCTGAGGCTTATGTGTTGGCTGAAAATCTATTCACAATCAGGCACTGGATATTATACTTTAAAATTGCTTGTCTGTAAAAGACCAGCAATGAACTTTCCCAATCTATTATAAATTGATGTAAGATTGTAGAGAGATCAGAAGTAGGTCTTTGTGTGATGCATTTTAAGATTTTTATAATGAGTTGAGACTTAGCCCACCGTGAAATGTATTATTTAATAAGAATGTAACTCTGAATCCTTTACCTACCCTCCCCCGCAAAAAATCACCTGAAAATACAGTCTACTGTGTGTGTGAGGGAGAGAGGAAGAGACAGAGAGGCTGAGGTGTGTGTATTAGGAAGGAGTGTGTGTAAACATGTTCAAGATGTCAAATACTTTGGGGAAGCGTGTCCGAAGGAGCAGCGTCAATTTGCCACTGGAGGCAGTCTGTAACTTCTGCTTGGCATTTTGGATGTCTTTCAGCATAATTGGAGCTTCAAATGTGCTTTGGTTGGCAGCTGTCCTCCGGAAAGGAACAAGATGTCTTTAATATTAACTTCAATTTTTAATCTTTGCTGATGCCAGAGGCTCTTCTCTATCCTTGTTTTCTACAAAGAGCCTATTAGGCTGTGGGCTTTGACCAAAGGTATCTAGTGCCACCCTGTGGACTCTCCAAATCTTACAGTTAGCAATTTGAATGTGGTTGATACACTACCTTTGAAGCAGGATCTTCTGCTAAAAACCACCTAATGAAGGAGAGGAGTTTTTATCCTTAAATAAAGCAAGGGAAGACATATCTCTAGGACAGGAGTGTCAAACTCATTGTCAACAGGGCCACATCAGCCTTGTGGTTGCTTTCAAAGGGCCGAATGTAATTTCAACTCCTTAACAGTTAGGAGTAGTTATATTCATACAGCCCTGAAATTATTTCAACTTTGGCCCTTTGAAGGCAACTGCAAGGCTGGTGTGGCTTCTGGTGAAAATGAGTTTGACACCTCCCTGCTCTAGGAGGTATTAAGGAGTTTATTCTTTTATAGTTTCAGCTGCTGAAGTATGCAGAGTGAGAAAAGTCATAGATTGGGAATCAGGAGGCATGTATATACATATGTGTAGGATTTTTTGAGATGTTTTAAAAATACCTATTTTTCTTTTAAAAAACCTATTACCCATACATGTTTGGGTATGTGAACAACAAACATAGAAACTAAAATAAAATAATGGTCAGTGGAAGCCCCAAACTGGAAAGAAAGGACTAATCTTTCATCATAGAAGATTGTCGAACATTTAAAAAATTATGTACAAGGGCAAATGTTACCAAACATGCACAAATCATACTGATAATATAAGAACTACAAAATACTAAAGTTTTCCCAAACATCATTTATTTGGGGGAGGAACATAATGGTTTCTGCTTCAATACGCTGGCAGTACATAAGGAGACATTTTTAAGTGTTTTATTAAATATTTCCAACACTTAGAAGAAGTAAATGTTACCATAACTTGTCCCAGTTCTGTCACCTGTGTGTGCTCTTGAGCATGTCACTTAACCTTGCTGAAATCCAGTTACTTCGAATTGGGGTCTTATTAGGTGTGAATTCCAGTTATTCCTTTTAATTGCTCTCAATAGTATGGACAATTTAGAGAACTGGTCTTTCTAAAAAATTAGTTGAATTTTTTTGAATAAGTTCTGAGCCACTTGTGAACTCATGTCCCATTTTCCTCCCTCAAGGTGAGCAGTTACCAGTTGCTTAGTGGTTTTCCCAGAGGTATGCTATGCAGTGTGAGTGGGAAATCCATGTGACACTCTTGCTCAGTGAGCAGTGTGCCTTGGCAATCATTCTATGCCAGGACCCGCGAATCTTATCTCACTCTTTCTGACTGTGTGGTATTGCCTTGTATGATTTTCAAAATTTCTTTCGTTGGTCCTCTATTGATTTCATATATAGATATATAAAATAATGATGTTTTAAAAATAAAAACACAAACCCTGGCTGGTGTGGCTCAGTGGATTGAGCACCGGCCTGTGCACAGAAATGCCACTGTTTCAGTTCCCGGTCAGGGCACATGCCTGGGTTTCGGGCCGGGTCCCCAGTTGGGGGTGTGCGAGAGGCAAGCAACCGATGTTTCTCTCACACATCGATGTTTCCTTACCTTTCTTTCTGCCTGTCTTCCCCTCTCTCTAAAAATAATAAAAATATTTTTAAAAATAGTTACAAATATTGTGGTAAAATATACACACAACATAAAATTGATCATGTTAACTATTTTTAAATCTACACGTCAGTGGCATTAAGTACATTCACGTGGTGCAAACTATTGCCACCCTCCATTTCCAGAACTTTTTTCATCCTCCTGAACAGAAACTCTGTAGCTCATTAAACAGCAATACCCTGTTCCTCACTACCTCCCAGTCCCTGGCAAGCACCATTCTACTTTCTGTGAATTTTACTTCACAGAATTAATATATAAGTAGAATCTTACAGTGCTTGTCTTTTGTGCCTGCTTCCCTTCATTTTAGAATAATGTCCCCAGAGTTCATACACGTTGTAGAATGTGTCAGACTTTCCTTTCTTTTTAGGCTAATATTCCATTGTATGTATATACTATATTTTATTTATCTATTCATCTATCAATGGACATTCGGGTTGTTTCCACCCATGGGGTATTGTGAATAATGCTGAACATGGGTGTAAAAAAATTAAAAACTTTAAAAATTATGAAATATTTCATATATGCAAAGTTTATAGGATAATTAAACAGACATGTAATCACCAAGTTCCCCAGCACTATCAAGTCCTAACATTTTGCTGTATATTATTCTGATATTTTTAGAGAAAAATAAAACATTACAAATTCAGCCAAAGCCCACTATGCACCCCATCCCCTGCCAGCTCTAATCTAAGCCATTGACAGATAAACTCACAATCTTAAATTTGGTATTTATTATTTCTATATGTGTTATATTACTGCTATATGTATCCATAAACAGTAGATAGTATTGTTCATGCTTGCAAAATTAACATAATTGTCTCAACAATATACAAATATTTTTATTTTTATTCTCAACATATGTATGATGATATTTATAGTTATATTTTTGAAGTATGGGTCACCGGCCAGCAGTGATCACGGAATGCTGCAGATGGCTTGTCGAAACGCGAGAAAAAACATGCACAGAGACAGACCAGTTTCTGTGGAGAAGTAGGGACAGAACGGCCACCCCCTCTAGTGGGGAACGCGCTGATTTACCGTCCAAACCGGCTTTTATTGGGTTCGTTTTGCATAAGAATTCAGGTAAAGCACAATACTCATTGCGAGGAAGTAAGGGTCAAATATAGGTAACAAGGAACTCTGAGGGTCTATTTTGAGTCAGGGTCAAAGAGCTGTAAGACTTTAAGGAACAAACAGCTAACTTCCTCCTTGAACCCTTCTCATTCAACTGAGGACATTCTAAACAAAGAAGGTTTCACAGGAATTTACATGGTCTTTCTTAGGCCTGATCACCCAGGGAATCTGCCCTTTCCAGTGCAGGACGGCACCACCCTGTCATTGTTTCAGGCTTAGGTGGAGCAAGGGAAGTAAAGCAGCCAAGAGATTAAGAGATTTTCTTGCAGAGCAGGAGGACTTGGGCTTTGTCAAAGCCAAAGGGCGAGAGTCCCTTACCCCCTTTTGCCGTAGCCCCCAAAGTCCTTCTTTTGGGGGCCTCCCACATGATCGTGCCTGTCTTAGATAGTTCCCCCCTTGGGGAATCTTACCCATCATTGGCTAACCAACCAAGCATTGGGGTCCAGGCAGGGTGAGGTATGAAGGAGCAGAAGCAGCGCTCCTGTCAGGGAGATAAGCTTGTCTCCTTGCTGGCTTATGGTTCCAAGGGCGTTCCCTTAGCCTTAGCCTAGGCGGGGGTTACAGCTTCTGATACCAGGCAGGGCGGTTCCCAACATATTTTATTCATTTTAAATACTGTATAGTATTCCATTGTCTAAGTATAGCATAATTCATTCCTCTTTTTGTTGATGGACATTTAGGTGTTTTTTCAACATTTTCTTACTAAAAACAATACCCTGGTGAATTTTTAAAACATATCTCCATAGACTCTCCAGGCTAGATCCTTGCTACATCACCTTGTAGCCTTTTACAAATGCAACATCCTAGGTCCCACTGCAGACCTACTGAATTCGAACCTATGTTTATGCAAGATCCCCAGGTGATTCATACGCGTATTAAAATTTGAGCAGCTGT